AGACGTGGGTTGCCCCGCAGATGTAGGAAAAGGGGCTCCGAACTGCGTAACAATTTCTTTGTGTTTTTAGGTTACTTTATGCTTTCTGCAGTTATTATTTACACTTGCTTAAACGAGTTTAATTAATTAACGAAACTGGTGCATAACTTAATTAACGAGTAAAAACACATTGCTTTTGTTTTTTCAAGTGTCACGGTGCAATTTCAATTGGTATCAGAGCCTGTAGACTTAATCTATTAGTCTATCGATCTGGCGAATCCGTGCATCTTGAATTCATTTCTTCAGCGGCTATTTTTATTTATCTGTTTATTGCTTATTTGTTTGATCTTTCGGGGTGTTAAGTGTTACAGAATGGATCGTACTAAAGTCATTCCCCAGTTGACAGGCGACAACTATGCATATTGGAAGGCTCGCACCCGTACGCATCTAAAAGCTCAAGGTGAAGCCGTGTGACGGTCTGTGGTGGCAGGTTGGACACATCCCACCAAACCCAGTTCCAGCACTGACCGAACAGAAATAGCTAAGCTTGAGACTGAGTGGACTCAAACAGAGATAACCAACGTTGGAAACAATGATAAGGCTTTAGACACAATTTATTCTCTTATGCATGAAAGCCAGTTCTCTATTGTTGCAGGTATTCCTTCAGCTAAAGGTGCTTGGGAGGCTCTTGAGTCTACTTACGAAGGAACGACATCGGTAAAACAGTCAAAACTGCAACTGGTCCAGTCAGAATTCGAAGAGCTTCGCATGAACGAGGATGAGTCAATCATCGACTTTCACACACGCATACAGGATCTGGCGAATCGCGCTATGGTCATTGGTGAACCATTCTCGCAAGCAAAGCTTGTTAAGAAAATACTGAGATCCTTACCCCCGAGGTTCAGAATGAAAGTCACGGCTATCCAAGAGCATGATGGCTGGGAGAATAAATCGGTCACTCATTTAATGGGAAATCTTAAAACATATGAAATGGAAATCTTAACTAATCATACAAAAAAACAAAAAAATGTTGCATTTGCTGCTGAAGAAAATAATGTTGTATCCGATTCAGATGAAACTAGTGATGATACAGTTGTATTCTTGACTAAACAGTTTTCCAAAATTTTGAAACAGGTATCCAAAAACACACGCAACAAAAATTCACAAAGGGGGGCAACGTCATCCAAAACTGCGCCTAGGACAGGGGCGTCAAACTTCAAACAGTCTGTCTCACGTCCAGGACAGTCCAAAGAAAGATCCAACAATAAAGGAATCAAGTGTTATGAGTGCAAAGGCTTTGGACATGTACAAGTTGAGTGTGCTACCTACCTTCGACGCAAAAAATCTATGTCCGCCATTACCTGGAGTGATGACGAGCCTGACGTTGATACAACTGGATCGGATGTCGAAGAAATCTCGGGTAACTTTGTTGCATTTACGGCACGTGTTACTGGCTGTTCAGAATCTGTTGAAGAAGCTGACTCAGAGGGTGGTGAATATGTCTCCGCATAAGACTTGGAACTAAATACTTTATCTTTTGAAGCTGAGTTTAATAAGTTGTATCCGAAATGGGAAGCCCTACGAAAAGTAAACTGCAAATTAGCTAGTGAGATAGAGATTGTAACCAATGCTAGTAAAGTATATCAAACTCAAGTAGCTGATAGGAATGTTCTACTTAAAGAAGCAGCTGATCGAGAAGAAAAACTACAAAACAAAGTACAAACTGGCAATGTACTACTGAAGGAGGCAGTCGACCGAGAAGAAAAACTCCAGCAAGAAGTACAGACATTGAAACAGGAGCTCAGCACCTACAAACGCCAAATCCAAATGATGGATACCACTTCAACACTTGATAAGATTCTTGATTCCGGCAGGAAATCTTCTGCAAAATTTGGTTTGGGCTTCACTGGAAGTAACTCCAAAGATAAGATAGTATTTGTCAAAGCATCTGGACCTGATCCAGAAGACATCCCTGAGTCCAGCACAAGGAAACGCTCCTATGGTACACTAAGCGCAAATAAGATACATTATAAACTATATAATCCCGTTTGCCACTATTGCAGGTTACGAGGTCATACCAGACCTGAATGCTACTATTTCTACAAGGATCAAAGGATCGAGAAGTTCAGGCACAAGAACATACAACCGTTCACAAAACAAATTTTGGTTAAAAAGACTGATTATATTTCGTTTGTTTCATTTCACTCTAAAAGTGCAGGAAGAGAAGAGAAATGGTACTTTGACAGCGGATATTCCCGTCACAAGACAGGAAATGTCAAATTCCTGAACTACGTAAATACCAGTAAAGGTGAAGTTACCTTTGGTGACGGTGTCAAAGGTCAGGTGACTGGCGTAGGCACTCTTACTGTCTAATTCCCTCAAGCAGGTGCTTTTTTAATTTTCTTTTTTGTAATCTAACAGTTTATTTTTTGTGTTACGTAAGTATGTCTTGCAGGGACAAAACTGTTGTTGACATAACCTTCGAACTTAATTGGCCGTTTTGTTCTCTCTTATAAGCTTATCTTATTTCACGTTTCATGTTACTCCTAGAAGACCCATTCAAGTCAAACACCAACATCTTCTCCTACTTACACTCAACTACCTACCTTTTAATATTCACATCTATGTCTTGTAGCCATCAAATCCACACGCCTTTTCAAAGGAAACATCACATCACACATTTATTACTTTGTTTCCTCTTTGTCTCCACTAAGCCGAGATCATCACCATCATCCTCTCCAACCCATCATCTTCCACCATTGTTATTCCCTAAAGCTTCTCAAATGGAAAATCCTTTTCTTTCCTTCGTATCTCAATCCGAAAGGGCAACTCTTTTTCGCAAGATAATTAATGTCATTTCTCCCTTATCTCCTGAAGCTACGGATAGGATTCTTGCCACTATAAATCGGATGTATTTCTCCTTGAAGGGCTCACAGCCAAAGAACATAGACAAATGCTTGCACTGGCTCGGCACATCACCGCTACACCCTGGACAATCCCACCTGTGACAGCCGCTGCTCCGGTTTCTCCTCTACCCGAACCTGTGTCTCTCGCATCTTCTCACAATGTGGTATTTCTCGTCTCTTCTGCTTCTTTAAACTCTGTGCCCTATCTATCTTCCTCTAGAAAAATTGATTTTAGTGTTTCTTTGCCTGATCAATTTGTGTCTACCGTATCTCATGATAATTTTGGCGTACAAAATCTGCCTTTACTTGGTAATCCATATGATTCTTTAACTCACAATTTACCTAGAAGTACTGAAAATTTAGTAGCCTTGTCTGATTTGGTGAATTCCTTGCCTTCTACCTTTGCTATTCGCAATATTGCCCAGCATTTCTCTGATTCTGTTCTACCCGTGTCTTGTTCAGCCTTTTCAATCCCCATTACTATTTCTGCTTCTAAAACTCAATCTGAACATGCGCCCATTTCTGTTTCACCTACCCAAGACTCGGTTCCCATTATCACTGTACCTCTGTCTAAAACTTCCCGAAAGGGAAAGGAGAAACTGTCTGTTTCAGGTACTGCATAAAAGAGGAAGGTGTCTCATTTAGATGATGTGGAAACTCAATCTGACCGTAAGCATCAAAGGAGGGGTTCCACTCTTCCACCCAGACTCACTCGGTCACGAGCCCTCACTGAATCACCAACTGTACCAGTTCCATCCGGCTCAAAATCAAAGGGGTCCCGCAAAACTTACGAAGGAAGAAGACTTTAACGAATAATAATTCCTCAGTACTTTGAAGGCTTCAAACACTAAGGAAGTTGGTACACACTCTAACTCCTCTCCTTTAATTGGTATTACCTCAATACCCGAGTTTGAGAATCCTAATGTGTTACATTTTTTTTACTGGCAATCTTCTTTCGCAGTCTTCGTTTGCCATTTATATTTTTTTTCTTTGTTTTTTAAATGTGCCTAAGATGAATTTTGTCTTTTATTTTATGTGAGTGACTTTAAAATTGAACATGAATTATCCATTCCATCTTCTATATGTGTGTATCTCTGAATCTATTCACACATCAGGTACATTTGATCATTCTGGATTCGTTCTCTTTACTTGTTCGTTTAATTTTTATCTTTAAAGTGTTCGTTCAATTTTCCTGGGTTACTCTTTATGTTTGGTTATTAGTTGTTCTTGTATGTTCACTACATGTCCTTTTTACATTTAATTTGCCTGGGTTACTCTTTAAAGTGCTCGTTTAATTTGCATGGATTAAAGTGTTCCTTTTTGTTCGTTTAATTTGGTGCAATTTGATTAATGTGTTTATTCTCTTGTGTTACTTTATGTTTATGTGATTGTGGTTTGTTTGGTCCGGTCATGACCGTATTTGTGTTTATTCATGTGTTTCCTGCGCTATCTGTGCCTAAATTGTTTATTTGTGTGTTTTCTGTGATATCTGGTCTAAATCTGTGCCTAAATTTGGTTTATATGTGTCTATGTCTGAATTTGATTTATTTTGAATCTTTGGCTTGCTTTACATGAATGTGCTTACTGTTTTATTTGCTAATCTGTTTGACTCGAATTGAAAATTACTGAATTTTTTCTTTCTTATGTGTTTTGCTGAGTTGTTTGCAAGTTGCGTGTGCATGGCTCTAGAGCTCTCTTTTTTTTTTCTTTTTTTTTCTTTTTTTTTTTTTAAAAAAAATCTTCTGCAGGTTCAAACAAAGCAAATACTCCGTAACTTATTATGGAGTCCAAATTACAGCTTCAAGCTAATGTGAAATTTTTTGTCAAAGGAAACAATCACGATGTACATTTTGAGGGGGAGTTCTTCTTAATCTCTTATGAACAAATTCCATTTGTGTATTTATTGAGTATTTTTTGTTATATTGGTTTTCTTGGGTATATATGGATTCTCTTACTGGACTCTATCAGTTTTTTGGATTATCTTGTTGGGTTATCGTTTTATTTGGCTCATCATAATCTCTGGGGTCTCATTTTATAATCATCACCTTATTTGGATTCTTCTTGGATTATCTACTTGATGAGATTATTTATGAGGAATATTTTGGATGTGATTGCTTATAAGGCTTTATCTTCTTGGTGTATGATATCTGATACTGATGATGCTGCTGACGGCTCAGTTTCGGGCACCCCGTCTGCACAGTAAAACTAATCCACTATTATGATGTTCACCTTCCTTTGTCATTTATTTGGCAAAAAGGGGGAGTTTTTGGAGTAAGGGGGGGTATTTTTGGATACTTTTGGATCTTTTGGAAGTGTTGGATTATTATGGAAGTCATAGGACTATGATGAAATATTTGGCAGTGGTTATATTTTTGGAAGTGTTGAATTGTTATGGAAGTCATAGGACTATGATGAAGTATTTGGCAGTGGTTATATTTTTTGGAAGTTTTTCTGTTAAATCATTATGGAAATAATTGGACTATATTTGTTAGGGGGAGTAGTAGTTTTGTTTGGTGCACCTAACAAGTTGAATGGATGTTTCGTTTTATGCTCTACTCGCATGAACAAGTTGATTTATGATGTGGTATGCTATGAATTCGCTATGAATTCAATTCTACTGTGTGTGATCCAGGCTTGAAGAATTCTAATCAGGTACACTATTCACAAATGGTCCAAAAAGAACTTAAATTGTTATATGTTATTATTATACCTTTGTGTCTTGTTCAGTACCTATACTAAGGGCTATAAATAAAATTAAATTGATTTTTGCCCAAAGTATTTGATACTCAAGTTTTACCAAATAAAGCCAAACGGGGAGATTGTAAGTGTAAAATTATTTACACGGTAAAACCTTATTGGCTATTTTATTTTGTAAGTGATTTTATTAGTTTTAATTAAATAGTTAATTAGATTTGTTAGAATTATTTTGGACCATGTGATGTCAAAGTGAGTGGACAGTATGCAATGATATATGAAGTCAGCGCATGAAGCTTTCAAAGAGACAAAAATGTGTGGCTATGAATTATTCGAACCAAGTAAAGGCTATGATTAAGGATCACAAACAAGGCTCAACATCTGCTATAAAAGGGTGCTATTCGAAAGAAGACATTGCTGATTTTTGGAGATTAAAATTCTGAGCACACATCTAATTTACAAAGCTTCATATTTTTATATGTTCCATTTTTAATCTTTAAGAATATTTAATATGTACTACATGACTAGTATGTGGTACTGCTGAAGTATCTTGTGAAGATTGTTCGGGTATTCGTGTGTCAGTCCTGATAGGTGTTAGAAAGAGTGGTAGTGGTAAAGGCTGGAGGCCATCTATATTTACCTCTTGTAATACTCCTTTTGGCGAACATCTATAGTGGATTGGGCAGACGTGGGTTGCCCCGAAGACGTAGGAGAAGGAGCTCCGAACTGCGTAACAATTTCTTTGTGTTTTTAGATTACTTTATGCTTTCTGCAGTTATTATTTACACTTGCTTAAACGAGTTTAATTAATTAACGAAACTGGTGCATAACTTAATTAACGAGTAAAAACGCATTGCTTTTGTTTTTTCAAGTGTCACGGTGCAATTTCAGCATTCAATGATTATAAATCAGGAACTTTGATAATCATTTGATTTTCTTTCATTAAAAAAATAATTAATTTAAGTTCAGTTTTTTTTTTCGTCTAATTAATCTTCTTTTGATTATTGAGAACAAAATTTAATATTTCAATTATGCTTTTATCAATGCATAAAAACTTCTAAAAAAAAATTTGTAAGTTAATTTTTACTATATTATTATAATAATATCTATTGTAACCTTTTATTTTGAATTATTTATTGTCATCATCTATTGACAGTAATTGTCATTGACAAACTCTCAAAACAATTTGTCTCAACAACGAATGGAAATTTAAAAAAGAATCAATGATTTCATTATTGTGGATGAAAAGTATGTACGTCACTTTATTCAATCGTTATGCTGTGGAACTATGTCCACCTTGCAATGTGGACACAGTTTTATGTTCATAATTACTGAACTATATGTTCATAATTATAAAGCTATATATTCATAATTTTTGAACTTCATATTCATAATTATTGAACTCTATATTCACAATTACAGAACTCTATGTTCATAATTACTGAACTATATGTTCATAATTATAAAGCTATATATTCATAATTTTTTAACTTCATATTCACAATTATTGAATCTCTATATTCATAATTACAGTATTATATGTTCATAATTATGTTCACAACTCTATGTTCATAATTATATAACTATATGTTCATAATTTTTTAATTATGAACCGTTTTGGAACCGTGTCCACCTTTGTCCACCTTGCAAGGTGGATACGGTTCCACATCATAATTTTCCCATTTTATTGCTCTTATTACTTAAACTAGTAGTTCCACCCGTGCGTTGCACGGCAATATATGTAAAACATCTAATATAAATTAATTCCTTAAAATATATATATATATATATATACTTCTGCAAAACATATAGTATGTATTAAACATTATTGAATACTTCTTTATATACGACATTTGTAGTCGTATTTTTTTATTGTACATTTTCGTCTGAGATAAGTATTTTTAATCCGTTAGGATTACTAACTCTTGACAATGCTACGTACATTTGACCATGATTAAAAACCGGCCTCTTCAAAAACAAACCCACATTAGATAGTGTTTGGCCCTGGCTTTTATTTATTGTCATGGCATACGACAACATTAGCGGAAATTGCTTTCTTTGGAATTTAAAAGGCAATCTTGGATCCGAAGGTGTTAAGGACATCCTTGGAATTAAGACCTTCGTACCAGCACTTGATCCGGAGAGTATTTTAGCTTCTAAAACATGATCCGCTAACTTTGAAATAATCATCCTTGTCCCATTGCACAACCCCAGTGAGTGATCAATATTTCTTAACAGCATCACTGGCGAGCCAACTTTGAGAGTCAATGAGTGATTTGGAACTCCCGAACATCGTAATCCATTTAAAAACTCTGGTGTGTGCAGGTCCGCCAGCATGTCAACATTAGAATCAGATTTGCATACGGAGTCACAACTGATATAGGTCCTTCCTTCAGCATTGTTATAGTCATTCATGTATTCGTTGACTGTATCTACAACATCCAAAGTAGGTGCAAGTATGGCACGATCTTTTAGGTACTCATTATCTCTGTGGCCACTGCGAAACATAGGGAAAGTGCTATCAACAATTGTAGCAATAGGATCCTCTCCACAACTGAGCAAAAATTGATCGGGAATCTGTATCTCAGATTCTCCATCCATTGAATCACCAATGGTTCCATCACCTATATTAGCAATCCACTTTGCAAAATCAGCAATCTCTTGAACTTCACTATCTGATCTCAAAGATCTAAGCCTTAGATTTTTTGTTAACCTAAAAACTTTACAGCTTCTCCAAAGATAGGATGAATTTATAGTTGCTCGCACAATATCTTGTCTGGTGCCCTTTGGAATGACTGGTAGAATTTGTCTGAAATCTCCACCTAACACCACTGTTTTTCCACCAAAAGGCATATCGAAGCTGTTATGATTTTTGACACGCATTATATCTCTCATAGATCGGTCCAACGCTTCAAAACAGAATTTATGCATCATTGGAGCCTCATCCCAAATGATCAACCTGCTTTGCACGATCAAGTGTGCCAAAGGACTGTTTTGGCTGATATTGCAGGTTGAATCTTCATTAACAGCGATCGGAATGGCAAACCTTGAATGTGCAGTCCTACCACCTGGTAATAGAAGGGAAGCTATGCCACTTGATGCAACATTCAGTACTATCTCACCCTTTGACCTTATAGCAGAAGATAATGCTCTCCACAAGAATGTTTTACCCGTTCCCCCATATCCATAAACAAAAAATAGTCCTCCAAGATTATTCTCAGCATCTTTCAAAACATTGTCATATATTGTTCTTTGCTCTTCAGTTAGTTTATCCACCAAAGCATCATTCTCTTCCTTCATTGCAGTAGCATCATATGCCAATTCCTCCTGTATCAACCGATTGATTGTTCTGCAGTGATTAACTACATCGGCTATCGGCATCCCCGGAAAGTCTTTCAAACTTTTTCCCATAGCTGAAAGCATTATTTCAATCTCCGTAAGTGCAAAATTCTTCTTCTCATCTTCAGATATAATCCAATCTGTGACAATATTATTTACACTACGTGTAAAACTTTTGTTGTAAAATAGAACTATAAGAGTAAGAATTGAATAATTTAATACCTGGCTTTCCCAATTGTTCTCTAATCTTGAATTGTGCATCATCTGACAAATGAATCCACGCAGCCTCCCAAACCACCTCTGGTTTTGCTATTGAGTTAGTCATCAAGAGAGTGACAAATAATCTTCTAAGATTCACAGCTGTGGCCCAATGACTTGCTTCTTCTATAGCATAAACATACTCCCTGTCAGCATCTACTAATCCTCTTGCACAACACGCATCCCTAAAAGAATCATATTGGACACCATCCACTGTTTTTATATCTAAATAACTTGTCGGACCTTTGACCTTATTCAACAGACACCTTAAATAAAAGATTTCCCCTGATCCAGGAGGCACATAGAAAACTCTACCGATAGAGAATCCTCTTTTTCTAGGCTGCCATTTTCGAATATCTTTCTTCCACACAAACTTTGTTGGCATTTCAGCATATGTCAACTTTCTTGCTTCTGGGAAGTTTTTATTTGCCTCGAACCATTCTAGGAACATGCTTTGCAAGATTGTTGGCCGACTGAGTATGTTATCAACGGGGTCATCATCTGCGAAAACAACACTTTGTTGGTTCGGCAAGTGAAAGCTTAATCGTTCCACTGATGGTGTCCTAAACTGTATATCAAAACCGAACAACCGCCACGATGCTTCACACGGAGATATGTACCTACAATCATAGTACATACTAATTTCATCCAGAACTTGTGCACCATCTTGATCATTGCTGGTTCTGTAAAACTCTGCTGTTACCCTGTCATGACCCTTGTTCACGTACTTGAATAGGTATTTGATTGAACGGGACTGATTACACCATTCAACATTAATATGAGCCCTATACTTTAACAACAAATGTCTATTGTGTGGTACCACGTACCTATTATCCAAGTCAATCCCATTGCGCGTCACAGAACGACCATTGTCTCTTCTCCGATATATAGGATAGCCATCCTCATCAAAAGTTGAGCAATTAACAAACTTTTTGGGAAAATGTTTAGTACATTTACCATTTGCCATACAGGGAGATCTGAATCTGGCTTTCCCACAAGGTCCATGCATCATAAACTCCTCAACTGCTTTGAAGTATTCTGCGTCAGCTTCTTGATCAGGCAGCTCAGCGGAAATAATGTTGTCCAAATTGTCAACATTATGATGTCCATTGACTTTATCAAGAAACAACAGGATATGAGCATGCGGCAAACCTCTTTTTTGAAACTCTATGGTATATATAACTGGTAAAAAAAAAAAAGAAACATTACGAATGGCAAAAAAATTCTAACATTTATCTATATGAACTGTTTTAATTAAATAGTGGCATGTAATTTACGTACCTCCCATCACTGGCCCAAATAACTTGTTCTTCCGAAAATCTGAGATTAGAGCATCCAATTTCATTTTGAATAATCTACATATTATGTCAGGACGATCTTCAGCTTTTAACTTTCGATCCTTCAAGAAGCGTTGTACCTCGGGCCACTTGGGGTTGCAGGTGAATGTGATAAACAGATCTGGATATCCAACCAATCTACATATAGCCATAGCGTCCTGATAATTTTGAATCATGTATCTAGCACCCCCTGTAAAACTTGAAGGCAATATTATCCTCTTTCCTTGAGTAGTGGGGTCAACTTCACCGCGTGTTAATGTATCATTCAAGCAATTATACGATTCACACCTCAAACTTTTTTGGTGTGTCCTTATATAGATTAACCTTCCTGACTCAACCATTGTATAGGCATCTACCAAAAATTGTTGGAATAACCTCTTTGAATGCAATAAAGTAGATACCTCAGATAACCTTGACTGTATACGGTATGCAAAATATTCTCGAGGACTTATCCTTTGACGGCCAGCACTTGTGTTTCCTTTTAATGTAGAGAAGGGAATGTCTTCCCTGTATCCGTCCTCACCATACGGAAAGAGTAAAGGGTATTGCATTGGGAGGTATGCTGGATTCAACTCACTAATTCGTTGCAATAGGCCGCTCTTGGTTTCGACCATAATGTCACGTTCTCCAATATTTGTATCAATGTCACCCACAATTAAGGCTGCAACTTCCGAAACCTACGGCAAATTGTATGTTCTTGCATCCTTTGACCTCTTCCCTAGCAATTTAATTTTTACCTCAGCAAGCGGATTCTTTTGCAGCTCAGATCGTGCCATGTGGAATGACTTGACTAATACATTACTGGTATCCAAAACTTGTTGGATATCATTCACAATCTCAACATGGATGCCATTTTGGTCACCATCTTGCCTAGCATACGACAAAAAAGATTAGAAGTTGCTAAAAACTCATTTGGATACAAATATTGTAGAACTTATATTTAGAAGTAAATAACAGGGACGTACCTCACAGAATTGATACGATTACTCAGTTCATTATTAGTATCATATATATACAACTGTGCAAAATGTGGTCTTTTCCCGTCTACCGGCAGGAGACTACCAATGTAATGGAAGTTCTGGCCATTGATCCGGAAAACAGGTGGACCACCGTTCTTGTTCACGCCCCGATCTATCTTACCACCCATGGACGTGAAGCAAAACATGCTATTGTATGTTCTAATATTTTGTAGGAATTGCTTGTTTTTTTCTCCTTCTCCAAAAAACAAATTGTAAATTGCATTCGGTGGCCTCATGGTTGGTGGCAATTTGATCTTACCACTGTTGCAACACATTGAATATTTTGGCATGCCGTAAACAACTGTTTTGTTGATCCGCTCGTCGTACCAAAATAGAGCTCCACAATGTTGACAGGTGTTACTTGCATCCCCAAGATCTTTGTATTCAACTACATGGATACATTAGTTAGTTAAATAATAATGTACAACTGAATAAATTTTTAATTGACAGAAGCTAGGTAATAATAAATCAATTACCATTAGGAATATGTTGTATAGTTTGCTGCTCAATTCCAACCAACCTTCTAAAATAAGAATAAAAAACTAACTGTAGTTAAACAACTAACTACATACAATGGCCTCTTAAGATTGTAAAACACATATTTTTACACATGTTAGTGGATATTGAACTTACCACAACTATATTCCTCTTGCACCGGAGTTATGCGATTAGTAGTGCATACTTCTTCAAAATCTTGAAACAAATCGCGATTGACCTCATTATCTTGACTATGGTCTTTTCCATCATTCATGAATGGCCTCTTGTTGCATTGTCTTGTACCTAACTTATTTAAAGTATAAGTTAGAGTCCTACCACCTAAAAATTAACATTACAAAGTTAAAACAAACGGGAAAATACATACCGTTTGATACATCCTGTAGAGGTGACCGTCTGACCTCCGACCTAGTTACTGTACCTTTTATGACAAATTAAATGTATATCGTTTTGTCAATAATAGAGTTTTGATACCAAACAAATAACATACAATTTATATGCACAAGATTAACTAACCGGTCAATGTAGGTGTTGTTGTACTTGATAAATATGGAGATTTGCCGCCTAATACAAAATGTCTGGAGTTGCTATTAGCTTTTGTATACTCCATGTGACAACTACTCATACATATATTAAAATTATCTTGATTAACTGCAACAAAATAATTCGGAGGTTCAACAAACATTTCTATATAGTGTATTATACCGAAGGATATACAGATATATAAATCCAAGAAGTGTAAAGCGTTTACCTGTTGTTAGACAACTTCTTGGTGTCGCATTTGAAGTACCTGTTTGTTGTGGTGTTAAGTTTGTGGCTAAATTTGTGGCAGTTTTTTTCACCATACGGTTGTGAGTGCTTATAACAGGCGAATTCTCATCATTTTCTGCATTAAAAAGATTCAAGGGACATAATAAAGTATCTCTTATTATAATGTCCAAAAATAATATAACTTAAGTACAGAAATAACAAAAAATTGAACATATTGTGCACAAATTTAAAATAGACCATCATGGACCAATGGTTCACACAATATTGTGGACCACTACCCACAAACTAAACATGGAAAATAATTTTTGCATACCTTAACTTCTAACTATTTCAGACCAAGCCCATTGCTATCCAAAAAATAAAAGCCCATTCTACCACAACAGATCATACCAGGCTTATTTTAACAATTAGAAATTAAAAGCCCAAACCCGGCCCACTATATGTTTGCATAACTTCACTTCCAAATCGGGTATTCTACACTTAGGTGGCATTTCTTGAACCCTCATCTCCGCAACCTTCTTAGAGCTAGCATCTAGAGAACACTACCCACCCTTATCTCTCACAATGTTCAGACAAACCCACCGCAATTCCGATACTCCAAGCCAAGAGTCTGCCATTCCAGTTTGTAGATCTTCGTTAATTCGTAGAAGATCTCAAAATGACTGGAACTGTTCATCTAAGCTAAGAGTAGATTACCCACAGTAATGAAACACAAATTACAGATCCGCGGTGTGGTTGTGAGAGGATCTATGGTAGTATTCTCCGATCTGCGTTTTTATAGTCGGATGGCAGTTTTTTGAAGGTTACAACGGTGATCGATGATCTAGATCTTCACGACATACCTATTCCACTATATCCGATCTAAGGCCTGTAAGCTTTAACACCCTAATTTATTTCGTATTTGATTATAGATTAAAGCTAATTTTGTGTGGTAATTGTAGATATAGAACACTATAGACACCGTACACAGTTCATGGACATAGATGGAAATTACAGTATATTTTTTCGCAATCCAATGAAAGATAAGTGATTTAGTGGATTATTTGCTACCAAGTATGTGTTTCAGATTATATACTAACAACATTGCGCTGCTGAAATGGCAGATTTGCAGGTTTTCTTTGTATATCTAAACTACAAAGGTTGGAAGCTAAGCATTCTTGAATCTCTAAGATTTGGTAAAAAACAAGGATATTTATGCAATTAACTGAGACAGTCAGGTAAAGTATAAACTACAGTTTGAATATGTGTTTATGGTACCTTTATTGTCGATCATGTGCTTCCTTTTGCTTCCAATTATTGTAGACTTCACTATTTTCCTCATGTTTGAGTTGATATTTTGTATGTTCCACTCGGTTGTTGGTATTTGGTTTCCAATACAAATACTTGGATTCAAATAGGTTATGGTGTTATATGGTTTATTGCCTTTAAGATTGCACTTTAATAGGAATGATTAAAAGCAATGATATGACTCTTCATTTTTTATTGGAAACCAACAAATGAAAGTAGTTTTTATAGAATTTAATATACATGTTCCCCTGGCTTTAAGTTTGTGTTTATTTTTCTATATAAATTGTGACTAACAGTTTTTTTAAGTGTGTGGCAAATGATGAATTAACACTTCTGATGCCAATCCATTTCAACTACAACTTAGTGGCTTTTCAGTCTATAAACTTTACATGGCTCTTAGTTTAACAAATAGCCATTTCGTTTATTCTCTGCCAATGTGGTAACAACTTACAGGATTAAAGAGTATAGTAAATAAAGGGCTATTTGTTTCATCCATATTCTCTGCCAATGTTTCATCCAAGCATCATTTTTTTAGGACTAAGTTTGTTTTATTTGTTATTTGTTTATTCTATTTTGTGACAGAATTTTTGTTTTTATGTGTTCACAATTGATGAAGTTACATTTTTCATCGAATTGTTTACAAATTTTTTGAATTGGTTGAGGAGAATTACCTGAACATGATTGGTGATTACTGATCGAAACATGAGTAGTTCTTTGTCCTTAAACTTAGCTTTTGTGTTCTAAGTTTAAAATAGAGTAATTTATTCAATATTCAATTACATATGTAGTGTATTGCAAACAATTTTATTCCTACATGGTGTATTTAGGGTTCATTATAAATAGGCATTATACGTAATTATGTACTTTTACAGCAGCAGTTTCATTTTTTAATGTAAGCAATTCCTCAGTCTCAACCAAATTTTAAATATCCCTGTTTATGATTTTTCAATACACATGAATATTTTTTTTCTTTAATTCACCTCTAATTTGTAGATTAAACATAGTTCTATTTTAAATGTAGTTACAATAATGTAAACTAAATTATACTTACCACATTATTCTTAAAAAATCATTTATTTTTGGTTACTGTATTTTCAAAACTCCACTGGATACAAATTTCCAGTGCACAATTTGAACTTAACCTATATATGTGGAACTTTTATCACCAAAATTGTGCACACAGTTCAAATTAGTCCATTTTGAATTAGAGTATGTCAAATGATGTTTTTTATGAAAATCTGTTATTATCATAGCAGCTTAATTGTGGTCTTTAAGTCAGGAAGTGTTTTATTATCTATGTGAGGTGTTACTGTGTTAACAAAATGTCCTAAGTGTTTTACCACATTTTTTAAGTGTTTTAAAATAGACATGGGTGTTTTAACAACAATCTTTATTTAAAGATGCAGAATACTCCCATAATTTAAGACTGTTTGCTTATACTTTTTTGATGCCTAAATGACTGCTTGATATACTAACAGTGCTTGCAGGGCTCTTTTTTATAACTGATTGTCAATATTGAAAGCTAAATCTGCATATTTAGCATTGTAATTACATACAGTCCTAATTACATTACATAGAGTCCTAATTACACTACATAGAACCCTAATTAAATTACATGAGTGTTTGGGTGACTTGTGTTTTCTGCCTTGTTGTCTACAGTTTTCTTCCTTGGTGACTTGTGTTTTCTTCCTTGGTGACTTGTGTTTTCCTCCTTGGTGACTTATGCTTTCTTCCTTGGTGACTTGTGTTTTCTTCTTGGTGACTTGTGTTTTCTTCCTTGGTTACTTGTCCTGCATACAGTTTAATATATAGAACAGTATAGGGTAATAAACAGATAATTAGAAGTGTTTAGGATAAGTCCTAGGTATAGGTAAATATAACAGTTCCAAACAGTCCAAACATAGATTCAAATTAAAAGTAAATTGTTCAGGGCACACTGGTGCAATTAAACTGGCCAAATGTTTGTCTTCAAAATAGGAACAACCACAAAAATGTGGTAACAGTTTGTCATTTAAAGGATCTCTTAAATCTTCTCTTGCTTAACAGCAACTGTTTTGCCCTTCTTGCAAGAGGAGGAGAATTGGTCCATAAGAGATCGCTTAACACCATTAGCCTCTAACGTTTCATGGTCTAGGCTTTGAGACTGTTGCATAGGTAATGGGCTGTTGACCTCATTCCCTCCATTTGAAGCTTCCTGTATATTAAAATAAGCTTAAATGTAAAATATGTCAAAGTAAGTTAAGAAATGAGATTAGTTATTTGACTTTAGTAGAATAGAAAACAAAACCTGATCAGACTCATCTTCTTCCTCCTCGTCCTCATCTATCATTCTTGATATCAAGTCCTTGTCTTGTTCTTCAATGAGTTTAGAACAGTATGCTGACACCAAGGCTTCATCCCTTAGAACTTTCATAACAGTGTATGCTGCATTAGATCCCTTCATGTACTCCAATTTTAATGATATCTTGAATACCATTCTCATTCCGACTAATGATTCCAACTCTTTTGGGATGTCACAAACCTAACATTAAGAAAACATAATATTAAAAAAGAAACTAAAAAAAGGTCTATATGG